AAAAATATTTTTTTTCTTCATACTTTTATTTTTACCGGCAAAACTGTTGATTATATAGAAAAACGTTATATGAACAGATTAAAGGAATTGTAAGTTTTAATTTTTTTTAATTTGTTTGAGCAAAATCGGACTAGTGGTTCTCGAGTTATGTCAAAAAAGACCACCAAAGGTGACAATTTCCCCTATATGATAGTTACTAACTTCAAATCGATATATCTCGATTCCTAGACGTGACCCAGCGAAACGCCGGGACACGTATAACTTCTTTTTTACCGATATAACTTTCCCCGGTAGTTTGAACCCTTCCCGATCACTGACCCCTACCATTTGTCTCACAGTGTAACAATAGATTGGCGCTCACACATATGTTAGGGTTTGGCCGAGCTTCTTCCTCCGACTTGTGGCATGCGTACGGTGACCATATTAACCAACGTAAAATAAAGGACATTTTTTTCAAAATGATTTGGGAATACATACATACTAATTGTATTATAAAAGTACCTTACCCATATCGTAATTTAAATCAAATATTTACCAGGTAATTTATATTATTTAATTGTAAAAGTTCCCCTCTGTAGCGAAAAATTAAACCAACTCTTTTCAAGAACTTCGCCGTTCTTTGCTACCAAAATGCGTTTTCCATAATTCATACTGCACGACGAAGCCAGCACATAGTGGTTCAAAATTAGAATTTAATGTTCATAATTCACCGGAGCCTTAGGTTAGGTTAGGTTATCCTGGCTGCCCTCATCCGTACAGGAAAAGGGCACACCGGAGCCTTCATTTTTCAACCAATTTTTACTAAAAACCAAAAAAATATATATCCTTTGGTGAACATTTTTTTATAACATTTCAAATTTTTTTTGTAATTTTTTCGTTTTGGGAGAACCATACAATTGTTTTCAACTAGTTTTTGTTACTTTTTCTGCATTTTGTACTAAAAAATTTAATATTATCAAATAAAAGTTCACAAACCAGGCTCACCTGGTGTCTTGCAAATATTGTAAGCTGTCATAAAAAAAAAAAAATTATCAAATTAAGTGAAAAATTAAGGCTCCAGTGAATTACGAACACTAAATGCCAGTTTTTAATCACTGTGCAACAGGAGGTTTATTGTTTTCTTTCAGTGGAACTGGAAACTCAGCGTACAACACGATCCTGGGCACAACTCCCCCTATGCTTTATAGATTGTACAAAGATTACCGATTAAATAGAAACCCTTAAGTGGGGTGCGAAACAAACTGGCGAAAGTTTTCATTCTATTTTATAATGGACATTTTTATTTTTCATATTCTATGTTTAAAAATTTACCTCTGAAAAATGCAGAGCTGATTTAAAGGACAATTTAAGAAATAAAGGACAAAAAGCGTCCTTTATTTAAAAAAAAATTATATAGGACAGGGGGTTAAAATAAAGGACTGTCCTTTAAAATAAAGGACGGATGGTCACCGTAGGCATGCGCCTTGATGTTGTCACATAAATGCGCAGGGACCTACAGTTTTACGCCGACTCCGAACGGCGATTGTATTTTTATGAGAAGCTGTTTTTCATGGCAGAAATACACTCGGAGGTTTGCCATTGCCTGCCGAGGGACGACCGCGGTTTTTACCTTTTTTCTATATTAATTTGCGATGTTGCTTTGACCAGGGCATAAACCCAGGTGCTGCGGAGTGAAAGCGCGCACTGCTCACCACTACGCCACAGCGGCCGATCATTTAGCAGATTTAAAAAATAATAATTAATTAAATCGGCAACCATTGCGATTTATAATCGTTACTTAACAGCTCCGAATAGATTAACCTTTAATATTTTAATACACTTTATGTTATTTGGAACAACTGCTAAAGTTGGTCTAGTGAAATAAAAATGGCCGCCAATCTCTTTGGCGCGAGTATGCGCGGATTTTCTTTTCGTAGATCCATAAAAGGACCTTTGCATTAGTTTTTGGTAAAGGAATGAAGATCCCACTCGGCCCTACTAATAAGTTATACCTTTTTGAAAAAAATATAACCCGTTATTAAGATGTTGATAATTTAGCAACCAAATTTTATTATGTAATATTTCATATAAAATAATTTTTTTTCATTTTTAAGAAGTAACACCAGACCAGATATTACTTTTATAACGAATGCTCGTATCTATATTTTTTTGACATTATAATTACGGTGACCATTCGTACCAATTTTGAGAAAATTGTCCCGCTGAATATTTTTTAAAAGTCGGGACGTATAAGTGCCCCGATTTTTCATATTTGTACCGATTAAGTCCCGACAATGAACATAGAATATAACTGAGCCATAAACATAGCCATTATGATAGCCATTATTAATAATATAATAATAGAATTAATGATATTATAAAAGATAATACTAATACCCTCACAAAAACCGTGGATATAAAAAAAATAAGCTGTAGATAGATTGGCGAATATATAAATAGGGAAGACATTTTAGATTTCTTTGGCTATTTCCCTTTCGATTATTTAATGTTTATTCATTTTTATGAAAGTGTGGCTCGTTATCTAACAAAGACCATGTAAGTCAAAATTTCAAACTTTGTATAAAAATTAGCATGATTCGACAAACTCTCATACAAATTTTAAGCTTTTTAGTTAGATTTCTTAGAAACATTCTGAGTACGCAGTTTTGTAACCTATTCAATTCCAAAAGCAAATTTTAAGTAGCTGGGACTTACTACTGCTATTTGGTAAATTTTGTGGAAGGTTTTGCTCATTTTCTCCAAACAAAAAAAATTGTTGAACATACTGTGTATGGAAGAAAATGCGTGAACAAAAAATTGTCAAAAATCAACGGTAAGTCGAAGCTTCTTCCAACTTGCATTTTAATATACTAAAATTTAATGGGCTACAAAACTGCACCTCAACCCAATTCTAGAAAATCTGATAAAAATGTTTCAAATTGTGATGAACATTTGTTAAAATTTTTATAAATGTTCTACAAATTTTTAAATTTTGATTTAGATGTTTTTACATAGTAACTTACAGTTACGATCACTGAAATAGTAGTGCGCCGTTGTGAGGTGCATTATGCCCTTGATGTCGCATACTACGCGATATTGGAATCGAGTTTTTTTTCAATTATCATCTTTAGTGTATGATTTAACTCTATGCAAATTTCAAACCGTTCAACAGCTACGTTTCAATTTTTTTAGAAGTATCCCCTGTTGTGAGCGGCATTTAAGACGAGCAGTGAAATAGTACCGCATAACAAATATTTTAGTTTTTGGAATAAAAAGTATGTTTAATGACTTGGTTTGTTACACATTTAGCCGGAATAGACAAAAGCGCATTTTTGTAATTTTTAATGGTACGAAGTCTGCACCGAGGTCACGAAAAACAAGAAATTACTAAAACCCTTATTAAAAATAGGGAAAACACATAAAGAAGTGGAAAAAATTGGTGGATGTTCAGCCTCCATGATTCGAAATACGTTAACGTATCAAAATAAACCTGAAAAACGGGGTGGTAAGCAGGAATTATCAACGGTAAATTATTAAATATTCGAAGACTCGTCCCACAATGTCAGCTTTAGAAAGTTTGGATAACCGAAAGTTACCATGTAGTGTCCACACATTAAAGAGACAGCTCCAAGAACACAAACTTTGTGCTAGAAGTCCACGTAAAGTACCGATTTTGAAAAAAAATCATGTGATACGCAAACTAGATTTTGCCAAAAAACACTTGGATTGGCCTATTCGGAAGCGGAGGAACATTCTGTGGACGGATGAGTCAAAAATTTTTATATACAGTGGTAAAGGCTCGGCAGTTCGTAAGGCGCCCCCCAAATATGGAATATCATTCAAGGTACACTGCAAAGATGTTTAAGCATGGAGGCCAGTATTATGGTATGGGGATGTTTTTTTCATATCACGGTGTGGGGCCCAATATATTGGATAAGAATTATCAAGGACCAGAATAAGTACGTAAAAACAATGAAGGATGTTATGCTTCCATTCGCTAAAGAGGAAATGCCACTCAAATGGGTACTAGAGCAGGATAACGACCCGAAGCATACAAGTAAGCTAGCAAAATTGTGGTCTCGGGACAACGGAATTGAAGTCATAGAGTGGCCAGCTCAATCTCCTGACCTCAATCCTTAAGAAAACCGTATGAGATCTAAAACCAAAAAATAACCACGGACTATGGGCCGCGCATGGCAGTCAATACCTCAGGAAAGATGTCAACGCCTCGTAGACTCCAAGAGAAATCGTTATGCAGTAGTGATTAAAAACAAGGGTCATGCTACCCAATACTAAGTAATTGTGCTAAATTTTAGTATTAATATTAACATTTTAATACAAATTTAAAACTTTTTGTTATGTACTACTATTTTTCTGCTCGTAGTAGTTTCCACGAAAACACTTCTTACATGCATTAATTTGTTTAGTGTTTATGTCATGAATGATAATAGCGCAATCGATTTAGGGCCGTTTTCACCATCTCTGGTTAACACTAATCGCCAGTTAAACATTGTTACCGACGTTACCGCCCCAATGTTAAATGAATGGAGTCAGTACCGTCGGTAACGATGTTTAACTGGGGATTAGTGTTAACCAGTGATGGTGAAAATGGCCCTAAGAGGAAAAAAGTAATCGGAGTAGATTTATGGACACTGGTAATATTTTGACAGACATCAAAGGAGGTAGGGTGAAAGGAATTAGTGGGATTATAAAGGAATGGTGCAGTATCCCAGCAAACACAGTTTCAAGCGTTTGAGAAAAATGTATTTCTCAATTTGATGTCAAATGTTTTTCTCAAATGATTCTCAAATTGAAAGTGAGGCTTAAATTTTACATTTGAAATTCATTTGAGGTTGATTTGAAGAACGATGTCAAGTATCAAACGTTATAAAAATGCGCAGTTGAATCAAAAATTGTAAGAATAAAATTAAGATCAATTGAAAAAAAAAACGATGAATAGAAAAAATGTCAAAGAGAAAGCCCACAAATAGTGGATTTGATGTTTGCGCCGATTGAAACAGCTGCAGCGCTTCAAGACGAATTTATTATAAATTACTTTATCTTAATTGTTTCTTTTGTTATGTTCAAACATATGTACATTGCGAGGTAAAAATAAATATGAAATATACATTTCCTATTATAAATTTTTTTCCAATTTCTCAATTTTTCAAATGGAGATCAAACTCCCCTTTTATTGAGAAAGCTGTAATTTTCAAATCAATATCAAATCAATTTCAAACGTTTGACATTTGATAAAGGCTTTGATTTCAAATCATTCTCAAATATATATCAAACCTAATTGTTTGCTGGGATAGCATACTCTAATAAAAAAACGAAACACTTCGAAAATACAATTTCTTAAATAAACTTCCTAATCATTAAATAAAATATACTTCCACAACAACATAATTCAAATCGATTTAAAAGTTGTTAACTTTATCAACGAATATTCTATCAACTACCTAAACACATAGATATGTATGTACATAAGCACATAGATATGTATGTACATAAGCACATACATATGTATGTAGATACTTCAGAGCATAATGTTCTACGATAAATATACATAGAACGTAAACACAATTTGCGTGCCATAAGTGGCAAGAATATTGCAAAACAATATGCTGACTCATACGACTTCCAGCATTGTTGTATGTAAGGATATGTATGTACACTAGGGTGGTCCAAAATACAATGTAAAATTGGAATTTTAATCCTCTCGCCCGCTAGGATTGTTCTATACCGAAAAACATTTCACTCGTTTTTTTTTTTGGAATCAACAAATATTAAGAGGTCGCTCAAAATGCTCAAAAAAACAAAGGTATAGAATTCTTGAAAATCAATATTTTTCGATCGACGAACTTTGCTCCTCTTCAGGATACTTTCAATTATAATACCCAATTGTTTATTTAACAATTTCTTAGTATTAACTATTTTTTATGGGACACCTACAAACTTCAAAAATGCAATGGGGGACCCATAAAAAAATTCTGGTATTTAAAAAATGGTAAAATAAACAATTGTTTATTATTATTGGAAGTCTCTTGAAGATTAACAGTTTTCTGATAGAAAAATATTGATTTTCAAGAATTCTATACTATTTCTACGAAAAATTGT